GTCGCTTGGTTGGGGGCAAGCTTAGCTTCTTCACAGGCAGGGGCCATTTTGGGGGCTCCTGGGGGGACAGAGCTGTCTCAGGGCCTCCTCTCATGCCCCAGGCCTTGCTCCCGCCTATCTGGGCCTGTGTGCTGTCTTAGGCCTGCTAGCCCTTTGCTTCTGGGGGCTTTACTCCTTAGAGCCCTTGGGTAGCCCTCGTTCACCTGGAGATCTATTTTATTTTATTTTATTTTTTAGAGATTTTTGCTATAGGGTGTGTGTATTCGCCAGAGATACAGAAAGCGAGAAATCCTCCCTGGGAGAATGGCCATGCCGCAACCCCTTCTCCATCCTTCTCTCAGGATTTTGGGCACACACACACATTCATGCCCGATATCAGTTTCAAGCCTCCAGATCTGGGACTCACATGGCGCTTGACTGCGTGGGAGTCCCTTGATGTAACCATTAAGCCATCTGCTGATCCTGAGATTTTTTTTTTTTTTTAAAGACAGGGTCTTGGGACCAGCAGTTAGTGTAATGGCTATGTCGCTGGACTTCCATGTAGTTGACTGCGGTTCGCGTGCCAGAACTGGTGGGTTAAAACTCACACCGGGCGCGTGTGCGTGCTTGCCCAAGATCCTGAGAGGAGAATGGAGGAGAAGGGATTGCAGTGTGGCCATCCCCCCTGGGGGGTGATTTCTTGCTTTCTATCTCTCTGTCTCTGTCTGTCTGGCGAATGTACGCACCCTATGGCAAAAACCTCTCCAAAAAGACAGGGTCTTAACTGTGTTGAAATCCTCTTGCTTCAGCCTTCTACCTGGGACTACGGCGAGTGGCCTGGCTCTTTTCATTTTTCCTGACCGTCTCTCTGTGCTGCCCAGGTCAGCCAACCGCCAGCTTGCCATCCTCCTGCCTCAGCCTCCCCAGTGGCCAGGGTTATAGGGGCTCACCATTGCACCCAGCCTTCAGGTTGGAGTGAGAATCAAACCTGAGCCCTCCTGAAATCCAGGTCAGGGAAGCGCAGCGTATTAGCAAAGTGTACTGCAGCAGCTGGGCTTCACCTGGAGATCCCACTATCTACTACTGGAGTCCAGGTCTCGCTCCTTGTGCCTAAGACCCCAGTGTGTGGGCCTGGATCCTCCCTCAGATCCTTCCCCTGGGTTCTCCAACCCTTCTGGTCTGGTCTTGTCACCCAACTGTCGTTCTCCCTTCTCTTCTCAGAACAAGCCTGTCTCCTCACACTGCAATGCCCAAGCAAAACCCAACTAGGCAGGGCCCCTCCCCCCACCTCTACTTACTCGACAGCTTAGCCTCAAAGCTCTGTGGTTGGGATCTACATGGTCAAACCCACCAGACGCTGGACCCCGATGGGCTGGGACTGCTGGCCGCCCTGGCACTGCTGACCACTCCAGTCTCTCCAAAAAGCTTCTCTTCTCCAGGCCTACTACACTCTCCTACTTTTCCTTGTGAAATCTCCTTTCCAGGCCTCCTTTCTTGCTTTCTCTTGCAGTGTGGCCTGGGCCTCGGTTTCCAGGTCTTGCTTACCCAGGCTCAGGGGACTACACTCGAGGCGTAGACACGATTCCCAAACTCGTGTCATACTCAGATTCAGATGAGCATCTCTTGCGAGATAACCACAGCTCCTTCAACTATCTCCACTCTCTTCCCGGGAACCGTGGACCTCCTTGGTCTCTCCCATCTTAAAGAGTGGCACACCCACTCCCAAAGGCGTCCTCCCTTTCCCGTCCTTACGGTGCTGGGTTCGGCTCTTGTTTGGGGCTCCGCGGGCCGCTTTACAAGCTTGGTGTCCGAAATCCGGGTGGCTGCCGCACGTCGCAGTTCCTCAGGTTGCACCGGGCTGATGGTGACAAAGTCGCGGGGCCGCGGGCCCAGCAGCTGCGCGCGGGCGGAGGCCGGCCCGGGACCGGGGGCAGCAGCCAGCTTGAAGCGCAGCATGCGCAGGAAGCGGCGCAGGCGTTCAGGGGGGCAGTCGGAGAGCAGCAGCTGCACGGAGCCGGAGCGGGAGCGGGTGCCGGGAGCGCAGTCGGCGGGGAGCCGCAGCGTGCTCCGCCCGGTAGCAGCGAAACGCGTAAAGAGGCGCACCGCACGTAGAGGGAAGCAGCGCGGTCGACCGGCTGACCCTGGCGCCTGCAGGCGCAGCAATAACTCACGGCGCTCGTTACGGCCCAGGCTCAGCTCTGCGGTGCGCAGGGCCTGGCGCCTTCGCGGTTGCCCGCCGGGGCTCAGCTCCTCTACAGCTACGCGGCACCGCAGCTCCGCGTCCTCGCATTCCCCTGCCGCTGCCGCGGCCGCGCAGGTGCCGGAGGGCATCCGCGCCCCACACAGGTCTGCGGAGAGATCAGGGTACAGGGGTCACGGGGATTCCGGGGACAAAACGGGTGGTATAGAGACCGTGAAGGGGAGCATAGTCACGGCCACATAGGATCACAGAGGTTGTCACTAGGAACATAAGGTCACCGAGACAGAACAAGGGCTGTGGGGGGCTAAGTAAAAATCTGCCCTTAGAAACGTAATCAGCCGTACAACAGGGCGGCGGATGGGCTGCATCAAAGGCTTCCAGGTTTGGAGAGCCTTGGTTGTCGGGGCCTCATTAAAAGTGGGTCCCTGAACAGAAAAGAAGCCTGCTTCCAAAAGACTCAATGCGAACACGGAAATCCCTCTCCCGGGAAGCAGAAGAGTTGCACATGGGGAGGTGGAAAGGGACTGACGTGTAACACACGCCTTCTGTCATCCAGGTATGGTCACTGGTTTACAAGCACCAGGCAGGTGTCACTATTCCCTGTCCACAGAAGTGGAAGCAGGTTGGAGAGGCAAACTCACCTGCCTCTCATAAGCCACAATGGTTAGCAGGAGTCAGGGTCAGTGTGATTACGATGCCCTGGTGAGTCCCACCTCCAAGGTGGGGATCGGGTGGTGAATATTTGGCTAGGAAGATCACAGAGGACCCTGGGATACAGGAGTCGGTGCTCCCTTCCGACCCACTAGTCTGCACCCTCCCGGCGGGGACCCCTAGATGAATCAAGCCCTTTGCCTCCCACCTCGGGGCTCAGTAAGACACTCACTTATGCGGGCGCTTGGACGAAGAAGCTGATCAGAGCTATCTCGGCCGCACGTTCCTAAGCTAGGAACTTTCAAATTCTAGGAATAGAGAATCACCCTATCACCGACTGGGTCTTTAAATTCCCCAGCCTATCAGAGCTAGGGGCGTGGCCACGGGGCGTGTCTTTCGTTGAATTCTGACTCCCTGGGCTTGGGCTGTACCAATCACAAACAGGAAGAAGGAGGTTTAGGGTAGAGGAGGAGCATACCAAGTAGGGCGGATGGGTGAATGAGTGGATGTGGGGAGGACCCGATGACTGCGTCTGGACGGCGCGTGGTGTGGTGTCACCCAAGTAGACTCTGAAGAAATATTTTCAGAATCATCTTTCCAACACCCTACCCACTTCCAGTCCGTGCACAGCGGCTCCCTTGGCCTTGGAGAAGAGTTGCCGCCGGTCCCTCACACCCGTTTCCACTCACAATACTGTTGCTCATTCCTGAGCAGACCACCTGCCCCACAACTCTCCCCACCCCTCTCTGCCTCTGTAAAGGTCAGTTTACTCATTTGTCTTTACCACTTGGCTCATGCATGAGGCGCTCTGAGACCTGTGTAGGGTCCCCTAGGATACAAGGGAAGTGTGTAGTCCCTGTCCTCAGGGAATTCTTATTTATGCCTTATTTTGCACTGACTGTTCAGAGAATCTGTTTTTTTTCCCCCTCACTGAAGCTTGAAATTACATAGCTGGAAGGGATCTTGCAGGTGAGTACAACTACCTCATTTTACAGATAATAATAACTACCATGGATTAAATTGCCCTCATTTTTCAAATGAGGAAAAACCAAGTCTCCAAGAGGCTTTACTGAAGGTTACATAGCTTATAGTTAGCAAAGCCAAGCCCTGTCCCAGGTGGTCTGCTCGCTCACTACACCTACTTAACTACTGCATGACATTGCACCCAGGTGACTAGCCTAACTTCATGAAGAGAGGTAGGGCAGAACCTGGACAGTGGGTGTAGGGGGTCATGTCCTGCCAGTGTTATGGAGGTTAAGACAGCTGGATCCCACTAGCTGACTGTATGGTTGAAGGCCCTGACCCAGCAGTTTGAAAAACATGCCAAGTGCATGTATGTGCCTGCCCAAAATCTTGAGAGGAGAATGGAAAAGGGATTGGGGTGTGGCCATCAATGCCCAGGGCAAGGAAAGCTTTCCCACTGTCTCTCTCTCTCTTTCACTGGTGAGCACACATTCTTCAGCAAATTAAAAAGAGAAGAAGGAGGAAAAGGCGAAGAACCTGGATTGCAACCTGGGCAGTTACTGAAGTGCCCTAACCTTACCAGTTAGCTGTTACCTTAAGCAAATTTCCTTAATGTTCCAAGCCTCTTCTTTCTTTCTTTTTCTTCCCTTTCTTTCTTTTTCTTTTTCTTTCTTTTTTTTTTTTTTGTGGAGAGGTTTTTGTTATAGGGCTTGTGCACTCGCCAGAAAGACAGAGAGAGACAGAAAGCGAGAAATCACCCCCCAGGGGAGATAGCCATGCCACAATCCCTTCTCCTCTTAGGATCTTGGGCACACACACGCACCTGGTGTGAGTTTAAGCCACCGGGTCCAGGACTCGAACCGCTGTCGACTACATGGGAGTTCAGCGACATAGCCATTATACTATCTTTTGTTCCCTCTTTTTTTTTTTTTTTTTTTTTTTTTTTTAAGAATTATTCATTTAGGTCCATCCTGAGATGGCTGCTGAACTTGAGCTGTGAAATATTGCTTTCATTGGCTAAAAATGAAGATTTTCTGCTGAGACTTCTCTCTCCAGAATCATTTATAGTGGGAAAGGCATATTTTTTGCTTTTTAAAATTAAAATCAGAATATTCCTCAGTTCCTACTGAATCTGATACACAGAGTGAAAAACAGAACAGAAGAGAGATTGCAGATCACCTCCTCCTACATGCCCTTGAATGCTCAGATTGAACTTCTGGAAATTAGGAAGAAACACACCATCCATCAGATGACCAGAAATCACTGAAGGATCACAGGAAATATGGGGAAGCAAGAAGATACCTCCCCTCCAAGGGAAAGAACAACTCCTCTTCATCCTCAGACGATTCAATGAAATTCACAGAAATGTCAAATAAAGAATTTAGAATATTCATAGTGACAAAGCTAACAGAGATGGAAGAGAAGAGAGACAATGAACTGCAGAAGAGGCAGGAGAAAGGAGCTGACAAGTTCCAGGAGGTGAGGAAATTCTTGGAAGATCTAAAAGAAGAATTACACCCTTTAAAAAAGAATGGGCCTGTTAGAGATGAAGGCTATAGAACAGGAAGTCAAAACCTCCTCTGAGAGTATTAAAAGCAGCCTAGGTCATACAGAAAATAGAATCTTAGATGTAGAAGACAGAATTGCTGGACTAGAAATATCCACCACGAAGGCTGAGAAAATTGTCCCCCAAAATGAGAATAATATACAGGAAATGCTAGATACCATCAAATGTCCAAACATCCAGATAATTGGTATCCCAGAAGGTGAAGAGACTCATAAGGGCATTGATAATCTATTCCACGAAATCCTGGAAGAAAACTTTTCTTTTTTTCTTTTTTTTTTGAGAGGCTTTCGCTATAGGGCGTGTGCGCTTTCCAGACAGACAGAGAGAGACAGAGAGACAGAAAGCAGGAAATCACCCCTTGGGGGAGGGTGGCCACGCCGCAATCCCTTCTCCTCCATTCTCCTCTCGGGATCTTGGGCACGCACGCACACGCGCCCAGCGTGAGTTTAAGCCGCTGAGTCCAGGACTCGAACCGCAGTCAACTACATGGGAGTCCAGCGACATAGCCATTACGCTAACTGCTGGTCCCAGAAGAAAACTTTTCAAACCTAGAGAGGCAGTCAAAGATCCAGTCCCAAGAAATACAAAGGACCCAAGTAGAATCAACTCAAGAAGATCTTCTCCAAGACACATTATAACCAGAGTGACAAAAACCACAGACAAAAACAAGATACTAAGATTGGCAAGAGAAAAACAGCAAGTTACCTACAAAGGGTATCCCATCAGGCTAACAGCGGACCTCTCACTGGAAACAATGTGAGCAAGGAAAGAATGGGAAAATATATTCAAAGTGGTAAGGGAAAAGTAATTTCAACCAAGAATACTGAACCCAGCAAGATTATCCTTCATATGGAAAGAAAAGATAAACAAAACTTGAAAGAATTTACCAATACCAAGACCACCTCTCCAAGAAGTGCTGAAGGGAGTGCTATAGCAGGAAAATTAAACACAGACACACAGAGATAAGAGTTCAAAAACTAAGAAAATGGCCAATGTAATAGTAGAGACAAGCCTGGAGTCGAATATTATATCCCATAATTTGAAAGAGAAGGTCGGACCACGACCGAAGATAACTTTAGATAACATGAGACTGAATTGGCGAAATAGCATTTTATGCCTTTTGAATAAAACATGACTGATTTTCTTTTAGGCTTTATTTTCCAGTCTTAAGGATTTGTGTCCTGACTTGAGCTGCTGATAGGTTCACGTGTCTACTATTTGAACTGAATCCTTTTTTTTTTTTTTTTTTGGAGAAATTTTTGCTATAGGG